TGAGCTCAAGACAAACAAGGGACTGCATCTTTAACATACAGCATGCCAAGTGTACTACACTGCACCATACAACTGTTCATCTGTATCGGACACATCGGTGATGGTAAGAGCCGAAACGTTGGACATTCATATTAGTCTAAAATACTGTTGAAACAGAAGGGGAGGTGCGTAAAATACCTTAATTTAATAAATTAGAAGTATACAGGTGAGTTTCTTCAAATTGATAACGCGTAATTTGTGTATATTTCGATTAATGCCACTACTTAAAAGCGGCGACACTAGTGGTCATCAAGTTACCAGCAAACCTCGGGGTCAAAGAAATAAAAAAGCCCAGAGTCTACCATCTTCTATCGTCAGAGATGAACCCACGACACACACAGGACTACACCTTTAACATTTGGTAATATATACAGCATGCTAAAAATGAAATACTTCTAGAACTCATCGGTGATGCTAGAAAACTCAACGTTTGTCCTTAAACAGAAACCTTTTGAGCATTTCCATGCCAGGTATTCAAAAGTACTATCAGTGGAGGGATGTATTACGTGTATTAAATAGTATACATTTTTTTGAAAAACAAAAGCAACTTGGGTGTTATTTATTTGTGATGATGTGCATATATAATAATTCCCATACCTTAATATTTCTATACAAAGTTTAGCTGTCCTAAAAAAATGTAATGAAAGCTGCCAAAATATATCAACAGTATTATGTTTGATTTAACCCTGATTTTGGTTTTAGAATTATACACAAATTGTTATGCAATCTTTCGGTGTCCTTCTCTGTAAACAGTTCGCTGACAAGTGTATTATAAAAGATACAGTAAAAACATTCTTATTAATACTGTTTTCTTGACGCACCTTACTGCATGATCATTTCTTACGTAATCCTGTTTGTTTGATGTGTTCGCTTAATTACGCTCAGATGAATGAAAATTGAGATAATTGATAAAGACAATCAACAAGGCTCGTGTGAGAGAAAATAATGATAAATACCCTCTATTATTCGCGTATATTATGGTGTCCTTGGGGCTGATAGGTTAGTGAAAATGCAAATAAATACACAATAATCATATTATTATTCCCAAATAAAAGAATGCATATTCGTCGCGAACACGGAAATCCATTTTAGAGTAAAACAAAAAAAAATACATGGTTGATGTAATGTTATTACGTTTTGGTTAAAAAGGGACATTACAAATAATTCATTTGAAGTGAAGTCTTTTGTGTATACACATGGCAAGGACCTAAAACACTGTATATTAAGTCCTTGCCATATGACCCTGAACTGGAAATTATATGTCAATCTCGGCTGAATTAAAAAAAAAGATACGTCCTGTTTCACAGTCAGGGACCAACTGGTACTGGTGATTAGTGTGTTAAAAACAGTGTTATGCAAGTGCACTTCTGGATTTCAAAGCTCGTGATATCTAGACAAACGTGAATTTGTGAATGCAAACAATTATCTCTTCAAAACGAATCAACACCTTTAAATTTAGTGCAGGTGTGAAACATGCACAGGTGTGAAATATGCACTAACTGGTATTAGGAAAATAAAAGGTAAACATGCACACTGGCCTTCACGATGACCTTACGTCAAGAGTTTGTATTCAAATATGCTACACATCCTGCAAATTAGTCTGAACTCACAACACGTCACTTCTCATATTAATAAGTTAAATTATGTTGACAGAACTAATTAGCTTACAAGTGATAAACTTATTGCCGGTGGTCTATGTTTTTTTCGTAGTTAATTATAACCTGTTGTTTCGTTTCACAATGACACTGGACGTTAAATACGACATCAAAAAGACCACTATCTGTGTAGAGTATGAATTGAGTTTCCAGTTTCAGGAAAAAATATCCGTTTAGAAACTAAGTTTACTAATGAAATAAGAAAAATAGCAAAATTATGACTTAGTTTAGGTTGGACACATAGGAATCGTATTTTGTTGTAATATCATAGTCAGGTGGTCGGGTAGTGCAGTGGAAAACTCACTTGCCTTTCACCAAAGCGGCCGGGGTTCGATTCCTCGATCGGATGTGAAAAGGTATGAAATCACCTGTCGGCCGGCTACGTGGGTTTTTTCCGGGGCCTCCTTTCTCGCACGTTTAGACCCTCAGCGCGCTAACACCCGGGCCAACAAGAGTGATTAATATAAGCTGAAATAACCTGTTTCATAGTTGTTGTAAAATAAATAAAGTTTATACTAATAGCATAGTCTAATCCTGCATTCATGCTATCATCTTATGTTGTAGTGGACGTTGTTTAGTTTGGATACCAGGCGCAGGTTTAAAGTCAAGACGAAGAGTTCGAGGTAGTCACCCAGATCTTCACGAGCCTTATGACGTGTTGTGAGGTACTTATGAGCCACACTTACAGCTACTCCAAACGACATGTTTTTATTGAACTGTCGTCAACAGCCGTCATAAATCCAGGTTTATCTAGACCTGACGTGCCCCAGATATCGGACGTATGCCCTGACCACCTACCTTCAGACACATACACACTAACATTTCGATAGCTCTATTTGTAAATGATCTGTAGCACGCTATCCCTTAAGCAAGGTCACTACTGCCACGTTCATTCACGAGTGAAGAAAAGAAAACCGCACGAGGTCTGTTTTATTATGAAGGTCATATTATCATTAGCACTTATCATACAAATAGCGGTCCCTATTGTTATAAACATTTAAGTCAAAAGTACAAATTTTAATGTTATAAATTCTCACGTGTCAAAACACACCTGGTTTTATTTCTATTGGCGAATTTTCTTCCTGATTACCGTACAGTTCTTTGTGTTAAAGACAGATGCACTTACTTTGAAGTTGAGCTGTCACATGCAACATTACAAACTGTAAATCTATATAAACAAACTCGGTTTCATCTGCTGTAAAAATAAAAATGTTCGTCTTTGGAAATTTCGCGTTTTGACCCTGTAAACTGATCAGTTTCGTGTTTGCAATTGTTCAGGATTTTTATCTATTTTAATTATCTATATTTCTCATCATCTATAAATAAGTATTCGCGTGTGTATATTTTCGCTCAATTTTCGCAATGCGAAAACGAGAACATTTCGACACCGCGAAAATTTCGATTTCCGTAGTATAACTTACAATACATTCCTTCTTACTCTTATGTTATAAAATACTAGCTGTTCAATTTATACATTTCGACAGGTTGTCTCCATGACACTAAAATAGATGTATTTATATACATTTCTCCATCACAAGGAAAGCATTATAAGGTACGACATCATGGCGATGACATGCCAGAAATAATGCTGCAATACTAAAAAACATCTTGTACTGCAGATGTCTAACCAATCAAGACACTTTTGGATGTTTTAAATTTCCGCGACAATAAATTTTTAAATATTGCAACTAAACTCAGACAGAAGTTTAAAGCATATGTAATAAATTTTGTGTGACGTGACATGCAGTGTAAATGTACTCAAGTCAATGGCTAGACAAACACCACTTGCATGAAGCCAGATGTGATGTATTGAAGAAAATACCGAAGCACAATTTGAACTCAAAATTGTTATAACTAGGGCAACATACGAAGAAACAGAACATGTTTTTATCGACCACTGGCAAAGTGTAAGAAAATAATACAAGGTGTTCGGGGAATTATACGTCTTCAGATAATAAATTAAACTTTCTATATATGATTTCCATTAGAATATATATACATGTCTAAGATAAGTAAACCCAACAAAGAGATTAGTAATTGGACCAATACCATTGCATTGCATACCCATAATTATTAATATAACAAAAAATTGATGTAACACCATTCCTGTAAATTTCAATGAAACTACTCTAAGGTGCCCAATTTTCAAAGAAGACAGACACATCAATATAAAACAACCAGGAAAACGTGGGAGCAACCTTGCTCGAGCATGTCTTTCAAAACGATCCTTTGATGGGATTACCCTTAAATGCTGAATGTTTACACAGAAACATGTAGCAAGGAACAGCAGCTGCCATATGTAATAAATTTGGTCAGTCCCGGCAAGAGGACAGAGCTTATTTCCTTCCCAACTGAGAGGAATTCTCAACACTAAGGCCGGAAGTGAGGTATTGCAAAGCGAGGAACTAGGAAACCAAAATATTTTAGGTAGACAGCAAATACAAATATTTTAAACGTTGCATTGGGTACAACACATGTATTTCGGTTGCATTTGTGTCCAAATTAAGTGCACAAAAGCGAATCACCAATTTTGCGGGTGGTCAGTTAGCGCAATGGATAACGCACTCGCCGTTCACCGAGGTGGCCAGGGTTCGATTCCGCGATCGAACGTTAAAAGGTATGGGTAACCTGTCCGACCACGTTTTTTTTTCTGGATACCCTGGTTTCCTCCTACATTAAGACCCCCCACGCTAACATACGGGACAGCAAAATAACTTGTTTCATAACTGTTGTAATATTTAGTCTCTTTCCTTAGTGGTTCTTCAATATCATATGTACACAATGTAAGTATAGGAATCCCTAACACTATCCTGCATGACATACTTCGTAAACAGAATAATGTGATAGATACATGTTTATGAGGCAAATAGTCCTCACACATAAACATTGCTTTAAATAATATTAAGTCCTTCTAGGAAAAGATATCCCGCCTATGTTGTAAACATATATTGATACATGATATGTGAATTTTTATACGGTATGGATCTTAGTACAAGACATGTTTTCCCAGATGGGTAGCAGCTAGCAAACAGTTCAACACCGTCACCTAAATAACCGCAAAGACTAATAGCCGATAGCAAAATTGAGTGACAATCCAAAATCCCCATACGGTCAATGATTTATTTTCATTGGCTGCCGTTATAATGAACGTTCTACATTATAAATAGGTTTATTTTGATCCCTTCCAGTCAGAAATATACGGAATCCTATATTAGAATACCTGCTATCAGAGATAAGTCTAAACTGCCAGTTAAAATGTTTCAGTAACTTGGTCTTGGAAAGGAGGTGACAGGTCATAGTACTTACTTTCTACTTCATACTGACTATACAGGTATGACGTCCGTCCGGTTGTAACTCTGCCTCATTCCATATATCTAACCTCGACCATGCCCTGCCTTAAATAACCCGTTTTATCTACACACATTGAAATGGTAACGTTCAACCCTTACATGTGAAGTAGTACCGTGGTCTTATCCAGGAGACTATCAAAAGGCCAGTAGTGACACTATTGAACTATTTCCCGATAAAATAAATAAATCATTAAAAGGCGATAAACCTCGGTAGAGTAGGTAAAGAGACCCTGTCGAAATGCCAGGTTTCTGCGTACCTAACAAACAAAATAGGTTCACACATCCTGATCACCATTATTATTCGAAGCCATATAAGCTAAAATTCAAACCAGGGGTATATGTATATAATGTACAGTTGAGATAAGGACGAATAGCTCAGGTTTAAGTGACATTACAGATTGCGATTGGTGATTCAGGTTACCGCGGTTTTAACCTTATAGACAGATCGGTACCTGATATCACTCTTCCGGACGATAGAACACATAGAAAATCGATCAAACTTGTGCCAAAATCACAGAATCGGCACAACATCAAATTGATTAGTCAATATATATATATGTACACAGTTAATGCAACCAATATGAGGAGAAATATAACAATGAACACCTCTATTGAAATTTGATACGGTCGGCTTACATGAACAGTTTAAATATAATCATATATATATTGCTACTAATTGTACTCATGATCATAACATTGGCACGTGACAGCTATACAAGAGTGGATTAACGTGGAAAAAAGTATTTCATAGATAGAAAATCGACAGAAAATATTTTCAAGCGACGGGTACTCAATATTATTTACTGATTTATAGAGTTAATCAGCTTAAGGATATATGAAACTTGACAGGTATTTGACAATTTGATCCCATACATAATCTGCTGATAAGACAACGGCGTTGTGGACATGTGTAAAGTAAATGAGTGAACACATACCTAGTCCTTGTGTTACCCTATGCACAATTAGTGTATACAGATTATTAACATTAACCGGTACAGCAGAAGTGTATACAGATTAATAATGTTACCCAACACACTAATCGTGTCTCACACAAAAAAAGGGAATACAAATTTATTAAAATACCCCACACACAAAAAGTGTATACAGATTCATTACTTTACCTTAAACAGCAAACGTGTATACAGCTTGATTACGTTACCACACACACCAAAAGAGTATACAGATTCATTAAATTACTATACACACCAAAAGTGTATACAGATTCATTACGTTATCCGACAAACCAAAAGTGTATACAGATTCATTACGTTACCAAAAACACCAAAAGTTTATACCGATTAAACAATTACCTAAAAAAATGTATACAGATTCATTACGTTACTATATACACCGAAAGTTTCTCAAATTCATAACGTTACCCAACACACCAAAGTGTATACAGATTTGTATGTGGTTACCATAAGTAAAACATCGTTGTCTACCGTGTTAAGCTGTAAGACGTATGTAGTAATAATTCAGAATTCTGACGGGGAACTCGAGCGATACTACAGGGTAAAGTGATAAGGAATACTTCCTGTAGTCTGACATACACGTAGTAACCACATTTGTTTATGTAACGGGCGGTATACAGCTTAAACACGGACGGTTTAAAATATGTTTTAAATTTTCACTCCTAAAAAACCTCTGGCCAATTCAAATTATCGGAACGATTTCAAAAAGAAGATAATTATATTTAAATACATATGTCTATATATACGAATTGCCGGATCGTTTTATCGATTGGTAATTATATTAACAGGTGAAGATTGTATAAGAAAGATACATTTAGCTTTTACCTGACTTTTATCGTGGATTTCTTTTCTGCGTTAATTTTAATATGCTGTGCATTGCAAATTATTGATTTTTGTCTGTACATACATGTAGAGTCGAAAAGGCCCTCCAGATGGTTGATATTTTTTATTAGAAATTTTGCTTATCGTGAATGATCCGCCAAAACTGATCCTGTTCGCCATCAGTAAAATATAGTATTTCAACCTCTCAGAGCAAAAGTTGTACACGGAACGAACTTAAATGTTACCTGTGAGGGGCGATTGTTTTACCGAGGGAAAGATTGACATGTTGAATGTTGTGAAATGAAAGTGTTAATGTGTCTGTCTTGTAACAGGGGCGGATTGCTCTGAACATTTGATTAATTCCTTTGATTGCACTATCGTTACTACTTCTGTGCTTATATGTAAATTATTTATCTAATGAAAAGACTTGCTTTGTAAAACGATTATGTTTTAATGTTGTAGAATACCTATCATTATAGGGCAGCCCTGGACTATTCAACATGACTTTAGCTTATTGGTGTGATATTAGATAATATCATATTATATAAGTGTATTTACAAATCGTGATCATTTTATTACATGTTGCATGACACCTGCTCACGACATGATTTTTAATCGCTATGCATCATTTTAATGCAGAGGTAATTGTTAAGTTTATACAGCTGCACGTGACAAAAGAGCTACTAGGAACGTAAACTTGACCCACTTTAAGCTTTGACAGTTATGTTTTGTGCATACACCTAAAACACACATCTACATTGTGTGACAGTCAGTGCTTTGTCCTGTGTTCTCGTTACATACTGGAATGACACCTTGACATAGCAAGTGTATGTTATCCTCTATTTGTCCTCGATGTAGAAAGCTTCTAAATTATTTCACAATTGATATATTATTAAATACACTGTCCATACCAGGAGAGGGCTTGTATAGGCATTACGCCTGTTGCCCAATTCCTTTTGAATTTGTTTAAGATGCAATATTCAATACCATCTTTGTGAAATGCAATATGCGAGAGAGTATTCTGCTGTGTCATTATCGATCTATTTTGATAGATTTAGGTCAATAGAGGACATTAATCATATTCCAGTTTTACAATGTGAACGTATTCAACAGGTGTTTCTTAATCAGATCAGTCCCCCTAAGTTTACTGGATTGGTAAAACGGACCGCTGATGAATAAGTCAATTATTGAAATTACTAAGACATCTTATCGCACAGTCTACTGTCTGCATAGTACAGCTTTTTGTACAAATGCTTATCTCGATAAAATAGAAAACATCATTAAAAAATGAAGTTGAAACAAAATGTAAATGTAAATAATTGAGGTATAATAATGGAATTCATATCATGCACAAATACGAAATAAAATTCACGAGTTTCCCTTTACCTTTAAATCAACATAAAGACAAATTCTTCAAAAAGAAGTACTTTTGTTAGTTTTGTATATAAACAAAAAGATGTATAATAAAGGCTAGGTTTGTTTTTAACACAAACAGGAACTGAAAACATTTTCGAAAGATCGCAAAATAAGTTGATGAACTGATGAATCTTATTCCGAAATTGAGGTATACAATCAATGTCAAAATCAGTATAAGTCTTGTTGATACAGTAGAGAGTATGCATGTATACTAAAATGTGTCAATGTATCGAAAGTACTACTGTATGAAGAAGCCAACCACAGGGATAGACATAACAAGAGCAGGATACCTTTGGTGAGGCTTGATCTGATTTATAATGAAAACATGTAAACATAAACATTCTTATTCTGAACAATACCGGATATGAATCAATTTCAACAGTGGGACCGTCCGACAGTATGACAGGTAAAACAATTAAGTACATGTAGCACATGGAACGGGTTATATAATAGATAAAAATATAAAACATCAGATATGGAAGTGGTTCAGGTAACAGACAATCAATTAGAAACGACAATTACACGTGCATCGTATATATCGGCAGACAATACATCGACGGTCAATACTAATTCAATACCAGACTATGATTGATAAGATAATAATAACTCAGCAATCTTCAATAATTAAATAGCTAACAATAATCAAATATGATTATTCAATAACAGACAAAAACTCAATAACAGAAACTCAGTAACTGACGATAACTCAATAAATGACAACAACTAAGTATCTGACAATAACTCAGTAACTGACAATAATTCAGCATACATGTATGGCAATAACTCAATACCATTCAATAAGCTATAATAACCAATAAACTTAAGGCCAACAACATTTGGTCATAGACAAAAACTCACTGACCAACACAGAATCTCAGTAACTGAAAATATATTTCAATAGCTGAAAATAACCCATCAACTAAACATGATCTTTCAGCTTACGAGAATTCAGTAACTGGCAATCACTCAATTTTCAACATTGATGCGAGAGCTCACAATAATTCAACCACTCACATTACATTGACAATAGTTCAATAAGTGATAATAATTCTATAACAACTGGACTATAAAATATTTAGCGAAAAAACAAAAATGGAACGGATGTACATTTACTCGGTTAGTCGTTCAATTTTATCCTTAGGAAGGCACATAATACCAAGATATATGACATGCTTACTTTGGCGCGGCCTTATTCTACAAAGAGATAAATAACGTTACCATGCACTTACTATACAACAGTATTCTTGCATCGTCAACACACTAATTAAAATATACCACAGCATGCTTACGTCATATATAAACACTAAAAAACAGTTACGTTGACAAAAAAAACCCACTAGAAAACTGCCCGGTTACATCAACAAACACGCATTAGGAACCAGGATGCTTACGTCACCATACAAACAATAACAATCTGCATGCTTACGTCTGTAACATATTTACATGACAACAACATTACTTCAACAAATGTTTTCTCGACAACTACATGGCAACTACTCGACATATACACAGGTTACGCCAAACACTTATTTACACACAACTTAATTGCATCGACCAACACTTACACAGGTAACGTACATGACATCGACCAATTTTAAACACCAAGAATGAAAGTAAGAAATGTGAAAAGTTTCAATATACATAATACATATCGTAGTGATAGATTACATCATTCAACCAATACAGTCATATTTATTATACAACGCGTATTTGAACAGTATACGTCAAGTGTCAAAATGTATATACTTAAAGCCCAAAACAAGCATAACGTGTGTATCGAACAAATATACAATCGCATACTTCTTACTGAA